GGCTGCTAGACAGTCTAGTCTAGCACTTGCTCATTTCACAAAGGAGGAAGCTGAGATCCAGAGAGAATTAACTAATCAATCACACAGCCAGTTGGTGGGAGAGCCAGCACTGCAGCTGAAGTCTCCTGACTGCCAGGCTAGTGACTTTTCTACTCTATCATACCTGCTCAGGACATAAGGCTATGAATGGCTCAAACTAAACCAGATCTCCAGGTGTGTATTCTAAGACCTGTAGGATTCGCCATATCTGCCCTGGAACCATCTGAGTCCTTCAGGAGTCACTGGATCTAGGCCTTAGCTGAAGTTTGATTGAAGTTCTGTGGTAGATGGTGGGACACGGGGCAGATGTATCAAGCTAATAGTTATATCCCATCTTGTATAGGAAGACTAACTTCTATGGGAGGTGGGAAGATAGGAGGCAAATATAACAATATAATAAAACTTTGTCTTTTACAAGAAACCTTTCCCAACTCCTCTTAATTTTAGTGCCTTCCTTCTACTACTTATTTCCTGTTTATTTATAGCTTGTTTTGTATATATTTGTTCCTATGTTGTCTTCCCCATTAGACTTCAAGCTCCTTGAGGACAGGCAATTTTGCCTCTTTTTGTATCCTTAGGGCTTAGCACAGTGCTGGCCACATAGTAGACACTTAATAAATGTGTACTGATTGATTAACAATAATAACTCAATTTTTATGGTACTTTAAGGTATGTAAGCCCTGCTTGCCACAACCTTTTCAGACATCATTATTCCCATTTTACAGATGTTGAAGCTAAAAGCTTAAAGAACTGAAATGACATCACACAGCTAGTAAACATCAGGGTCAGAATTTGAACCCTGGATATCTAAAATCTAAACTCAGTATTCTTGTTTCCTTACTCTATAGTTTCTCTCTCTCTTTTAAAAATCATACGATTGTTCCTCATGGTATGTATTTCTTTTTCCTGATCTGCATGCACATTCTCATTCATACCTGTCATCACAATGGGAGTAGACTTACCAGACACTAGAATTGAAGACCACCAACTCAGAGTTTCCATTTCTTTCCAAAAAAGATGTTTAGAGCCAGAATTTGGTCTCAGGAAGGTGGCCAATCAGTCAGTATATGTTTATTAAGCACCTACTATGTTCTAGGCATTGAGCTGAGTGCTGGGGATACAAAAAGAAGCAAAAGACAGTCTCTGCCCTCAAAGAGCTTACAATCTAACAAGGGAAACAACAAAGACCTTTGTACAAACAAACTTTATATGGAATAAATCAGAAATAATAAACAGAGGGAAGGCACTGAAATTAAGACAATTGCTTAGGTTGCAACAAGAGATACTTTTAATACCACTTTGTGTACGTTCATGTATTTAAAGACAACAACAACAAAGCATCTCACTCTTCAAATTACACAAAGGTACTTTTTGATAAGTCATACAATATCACAGTGACGGTTCATAACCTCCCATAACCAGTAACATGAAGGACATAATTTTAATATTTTCCCCTCTTTTTAGTCCTTCAATCAGCAAGCATTTATTAAGCGCCTACTCTGTGTCAGGAATGGTGTTAGACCCTAGGGATACTAATGGAAAAAATAAAATACACCCTGCCCTCAAGCAGCTTATATTCTATCAGAGGCTACACCATGTCTTCATCTAGGTGTAGCCTGCAGCCCAGGTTAGGAGGTCATAATTCTTAAACCTTCCCTAAAATGAACGTAGTTGCATAACAATTACATTTCTGTGGCACTCACACTTTGTCCATGACGACCCTTGTCAGTTAGGAAGTACAATTCATTTCAATTCAATCTGACAAACATTAAGTTCCTACTGTGTATAAGGCACTGCAATTAATACCCCCGGTCTCCAGATGAGAAAACTTAGGTTATGAGAGAAAAAGTAATTTTACTTAATTAGCTGTTAGTTGTTCAGCCGGCAAATAGCCATCACTATGAGAACCCAGCTCATCTTGACTCTTCCTCTTTATTCTTGTGCTCTTAGCAATGCTCAGAATTGTACTTTTAAATATTTCCCTTCCTGATTCAGGTACAGATGAACAGTGTGAAGTCTTGCCAGGATTTGTTGTAAGAAAGGCTAGCTTGAATTCCACGAAATTGGTTTGTTTTCAATTGACATCATCCTCATATTTTTAATGGCAATAGCATTTCCCCCCCAATAAGTACTTGACATTCGGAAAGTTCAAGTTATGTATTAAAAGCACTACAGGAAAGTAAACTTTAATGAAAAATTTTTTCCACCCAATCCCAGAGGGAACATGAGCGCTCACAACTGAATGATGCATGTAACAAAAGGAACAACTAAGACTGAAAGCTTTTATGATGAAGTACTGGATAGAATTTCCACTTTGTCCTCTGTCTACACCCTTAGACTAGCTGGATTTATAAGTTCGGAGCAGATCAGTAGAGCATTCCTCCTCAAAAAAAATAAATCTGGGCGGCTTTAGAAATGGTAGAGCTGGAGAGGATGTCTTGAGCAGCTCAGCATTTTCTTTGAATATATTTCTCTGCATGTGTGCGTGTGTGTGTGCACGTGTGCGTGTGTGTGTGTGTGAGACATGTATTTAAACAAACATTTGCACAGATCGGCATGGTGAAATGGGCCAGAATTCCCTCTAGCATTTAAGAATGTGTTTCGTTTCCTTCTCTGTCTTTTACAATTTGGGGGGTGGAGAGGGAATGAGCTTTTGGGCCAGAGAGAAAGAGCTTCAGTCAAGAAGAGTATTTGGCATTTCTCTCAGACCACATACCTCCTGAAAGCTATTAAAGTGAATTCAGAATAATTCAGCCTGGGGATGTGTAGGCTGCCTTAGGCTTTACAAACTGGACGATCCCAATGGAAGAACTTGACCATGTTGGAATTCGATTGTGTATGAACAAAACCTGAATCTGTAGACAGATGATGCACTTACTCTATTGTTGAATAGGGCAGAATAACTATTTTATGGGTGGGTTTTTTTTTCTTTTAAATTGTTAACAGATTCTCACACACCTCTCCCCTTACTCCCCTTAATTTCACTCATCCATTGGATTTTGTTAGAGGTTTTTGTTTGTTTTGTTTTGGTATGTGGTAGAAACAAACGCACTCAGAACAGTATCTTCCTTCACATTTGGATTAACATCCTCTTGAAATGTTGACCATGAAGCAAATTTCTATGACTTAGATTTTTAAGAGACTTTGAGGTTATTTCATCCACACAATAACCAAAATATATTCTGTTTACAAATTCCTTGACAAATGGTCATTCAGCCTCCAAATGAACACCTCCATTCTTGGAGGCTTGTACCCCTGTCTAGCCCTAGGCTCATTCTGCACTCATACACTGGTTATTTTGAGCGCAAATATAGGACTGGTTATGATGTCTAAATTTCACCTCATTTGATTTGGTCCACCTTTTCAATCTATTGTGATTTCACTGGATTCTAATTCTTTCTTCTAGCATTAGTATCTCTACTTTCCCACCTATAGACAGTATTTGTATAATTGTATAATTGTACACAGTATCTACAATTTTTTTGTAGATTTTTTTTGGGGGGTTAGGCAGTTGGAGTTATGAGACTTGCCCGGAGTCAGAGTCATACAGCTAGTGAGTGTTAAATGTCTGAGGCCGAATTTGAACTCAGCTCCTCCTGACTCCAGGGCTGATACCACCATGCCACCCATCTGCCCCCAGTATCTACAAATTTGGTGCCTTCATCTAAACTGTAGATAGAAAGTTGTAAGCAGAGTCCAAAGTTTAAAATTCTGATCCTTCCACATATTCTGTGTGACCTTCAGCAAATCAAGTGAACACTGAATCTCAGTTTCCATTATCTCAGTTTCCATTTGTAAAACAGGGATGATAATAAAGTATCTATTTTGCAAGATTGGGATGAAAGTACTTTGGAAACCCAAAGAAGCAGATCAATGTGAATGGCAGTGGGGCAGCAGTGTGGTGTAATGGATAGGTCCCTGAATCCTGCCTCAGGTGCCTAGTAGCTCTGTGACTCTGACACAGTCCCTTAAGCTCTCAGTTTCCCTATATGTGCTGGACTTTATGACTTCTAAGGAAGGCCTCTTCCAGCTCTAAATCTGTGATTCTATGATTAAACAGATCAAATCTAAAAGCAAAGAGCCCCGTGGTACTATACTTGCTTCTCCTTTCATCTTTATAGAATATCAGCTTCATTGAGAATTGGTCTGAAATAACTATCAGCGTTTATTATTTTACTATAAGTTGTAATAAAATCACAGGTAAATATGCAAAATGCTTTTTCTCCCATTTAAAGTGAAAAACAAGTCTCGTACTGAGATTTGGCAGGGAAAGATGGAATCACAGAATTTCTAACACACCCTGTGACTTGTCCTGTTTCTTATTCTGAGTTTATTACCCTAGTAGCACAGATTGCAGGGAAGAAAGATTTGTTCTGGACATCTCATTGAAAAATAATTTTAAAACCTTTTCTTCTCTTCCTTTTTCTTCATTGTTCTATTACTTTCCTGTAAATCACGTCACTGGGCAAGCTTTTTAACTCTTCTGTGCACATTTTCATCTGCAGTGTGAGGAAACAAATGTTTATTGGACTGGAATGCCTTCTTACAAGTTATTTCAATCATGTAAATAAGCTTTCTTCCCGTTCCCCTTGACTCTCTCCATCTTTGGAAATCCAATGCCAGGACTCATAAGGAGACATCCCAGAATACATATTTCCTTCTTGGCTCAGTACAGCTGACAAAAGACCCCAAAATGGGTGTGAAAAGATCCTGAAGTTTTGTTGGAACAAATTATAAGATGGCATATATTAAATCTTTTCCTGAATTTTTAACCTCGGTTGCAGAGGGATTGCAGAGATTCAGTCACTGTATAACAAAGTATACCTGATCACATTATAGTGCGTTGTGGTTTTTCTTTTTTTTTCCCTGCTCAAGCCATAGCAACCATACCAAAACCTAACAATGGCAATAGAGTCTATGTGAAATGAATTTATTCTATTAAGCATCTTATTGTTCTTCAGATCCCAGCCAAAAGACGTTCAAAAGAAGAAGATCTATCATAAATTGGGCCTTTTGGCGAGGCTCCAGTACTCACCTGGACAATATGCCAGCGTCTCCAACATCCCCGATGCCAGGGCAGCTCTTTGGGGTTTCGCTGTCAGAAATTTGTGAGAATGACAACCTGCCCAAACCTGTTTTGGTGAGTCTCCCTTCATTTTGCCCAGCTACATACCACAAAAGGTAAAAAAGTTTTTGGAAGGAAGAGCATGACAGCCTAGGAATTTGCTTTTGAAATTGGTGTTCAGTGTTTGGTGAATAGGGAGGTCATTCCAGGCAAGGGAAAGAAAGGGAATGAGCCAAAGCAGAGGTGGAACAATGCCCCAACTCTCATCCTTACCTTATCTTTCCCCTCTGCAAGAAAAGGGGGAAAACATCAAGAACAAAATGCAAGTGATGCTTCCTTCACCAGATCCTAGTTCTTCTGGATTGAGTGTGGGTAGAGAACCAGATTACAGGGTAGCTTTTATATGGCCAGTGAAAGAGAAAGATGACCACAAAGAAAGGAGTTAGAGAGATTCTTGGAAGATACTTTGAAGCTGAAGTTTTAAAGTGTGCCCTTGAGTATGGACTTGGACCCTAACTGTTTGACTCAGATGAAGTCTCTTAAACTCTCAGGGCCTCTGTTTCCCCAAATGTAAAATGAGGAGACTGGGCTTGATGACCTTATGTCCCTTGCAGCTCCAAATCCATGATCCCATAATTGAACTGAACAGAACAGGCCAACTAGCCTGATCTTAAGGCTCTAAGCAATGAGGTGGCTTGTGGTGCAAAGAACTGGGGATCTGGGAGGCAGTCACAAAGCAACTTTAAGCTAGGTGGTTCAGTGGATTGAGCACTGGACCGGGAGTCAGGAAGACCTGAGTTCAGATCAAGATGAGATAAATGTAAAGAGTATTGTAACCTTTAAAGAACCATATAAATGGCATATACATACATGTGTGTGTGTGTATACATACATACATACATACATACATATTTATTATTTATTTATTTATGTTTACATATTTATGTAAATAGTAGGGTATGATCTACTGCTACCAAAGAAATTTTTCAAGGTCACATTTTATGGACCACTCTACTCACATTGCCCAGGAAGACAGCAGTGCAAGTGCCATAATCCCTTTTACTACAGAAGTTTCTGACTGCATACCAGCACCCTGGCTATGTCATCTGCTTCCCTGCTATAATTCCTGCCCTAAGCAAAAAGTTGGATTCAGTGACCTTTAAGGACCCTTCTATGATTCTAAATTATCTCTCTAGCTTAGAGTCTCTTGGAACACTCTAAGTCTCTCCTCTGTATTTACTGTCCTATAACTTGTATTATTCTAGATGAATTTGCCATGGAAGGGCTTGGGATTCTATTGTGAAGGTCTTTGAGGGACAGGAACTGTCTTCTAAATGACTCTTAGAAAATTTGTGTATGTGTTTGAGTTTCTATACAGATGTGTCTTAGACCTGCTCGTCTACCCTGGAGCTAACTTCCTGTTCAATATTTTGTTCACAAAGCTACATGAACTAGAATATCTGCTGTGTACTCCCATTGCCCATGCCCCAGACATTGATCCTTCCCTTTTATGGTGATAGAGAAGGTAGGGCAACAACGTTGCCCTTGGCCCTTCAAGCCAATTTGTTCAGCTTTTGGTGGTGGTAGTGGTGGTAGTTGTCATTCGCAGTGGATCTTGGGAAGCCTTCTCTTTTCCAAATTCTTTCTAATGACTTTGTCTGACTATTGCACTGAGTAGCCTGTTGCCATTCTGATCCCCTTTATTTAAAACCCAGGGGTTTTAAAGTAGAACAAGTCAGAGATCTTCAAATTCAATTACTAAAACTGGGTGATAGAAAGATAAAAATCTCAGGTTCGATTCCTCTTTCAGGCTCAAATTGTCTGAGTGACTCTGAACAAGTTACCAGATCTCTCAGTATTCTCAGCATCTTTTTTAAGACCATTAGTTGAATCTTTCTTTTTTTTTTCTTTGAGTTTTGTTGCACAAAATGACAAATATGGAAACGTTTTCCATGATTGCACACATACAACCTATTTCAGAATGCCTACTGTCTTAGGGAGGGAGGAATAGAATTTGTAACTCAAAACTTTAAAAAATGTTAAATTATTTTTACATGTAATTGGGGAAAAATAAAATATTATTTAAAAAAAGACTGTAAGTTTCAGAGAAGGTGTTCTCCTGCCTTAGTTGAGTGTCCTTACCAGGGAATTCCCTATATCAATGAAGTCACAGGTTCAGGTCTTGTCTCTGTCCCCTCAGAAGGTGGGGGGCCCCCCACCTTAGCAGTGGTACTAGAACATCGATGTTAAATAGTATTAGACATTTCCCAAGCCCCCACTTATGTCCTCAACACTATACTAGACACTATAAAAAGATAGAAAGGAATGGCACATACACACATGAAACAAATTGCAGATTCTTTACATAGCAATATGTGATTAGTGCCAATTAATACACTGGTGATGCTGGGAATGTAATTAGATTAGGTTTCCTGCTGGAGGGTGATATTGGAGCTTGTTTTTCAAGGTCAGGCAAGTCAATAAACATTTTATTAAGTGCTTACTATGTGCCCAGGCATTGTGCAGAGCACTAAGGATACTAGTACAGGCACAAAGACTGACCCTGCCCTCAAGGAACTTACATTCTCATGAGAGAAGACAACACATAGAAAGGGAGCTGAAAAGCAGAAAAGACAGGAACATATCTACTTGGGGGGGGTGTGGGGGGAAAGGCTTTCTGGCAGAGAGGACAGAAAGAATGAAACATTTGAGAAACAGAGATGGAAAGATAAGCCAGTTTTTAGAATCAGGACCCTCAAGTTAGAGGGGACCTCAGGGGTTGCCTCTTTCAACCTCTGTGTGAAGTATGAAGTTGCTCAGGAAAGCCTGGAGCCATGTCGTAGAGTAATGAAGAATGAAAGGAGTCAGTCAACAGGACCATCTGCAGGACTGCAGACTGAGAGCTGGGAGGGGTCTCAGAGGCCATCTAGTCCAGCCCCTTCATTTTGTGATGAAGAAACTGAGGCTCAGGTAGTGTGAAGTGACTTGCCCAGGATCACACTTAACTGGTTTTTTTTTTTGGTTTGCCTAGGCAATGGGGTTAAGTGACTTGCCCAGGGTCACACAGCTAGTAAGTCTTATGTGTCTTGAGGCTGGATTTGAACTCAGGTCCTCCTGAATCCAGGGCCGGCGCTCTATCCACTGTGCCACCTAGCTGCCCCCCACACTTAACTCTTGTTCAGTCGTTTAGTCGTGTCTGACAGTTCATGACCCCATGGATCACAGCATGCCCTTCTATCCTCCACTGTCTTTCAGAGTCTCAGTTCATGTTCTCATCCTCTGCTGCCCCTTCTCCTTTTGCCTTCAGTCTTTTCCTCTATCAAAGTCTTTTCCAATGATTCCTGTCTTCTCATTATATGGCTAGAGTATTTAAGCTTCAGTCTTTGACCTTTCAGTGAATAGCCTGAATTCATTTCGGTTCAGTATTGACTGATTTCATCTCTGTGCTGTCCAAGGGAGGCTCAAAAGGCTTCTCCTGCACCAGGATCACACAGGGTGTAACCAATTTGAGGCAATATTCAAAGAAGGGCTTTCCTTCTAGAAGCTGGGTTCTTGCCACAGCATCATTGCAGCCTCTTGGTCTTTAAAAGCCTGGCAGAGGAATATGGATGAGCTCCCATAGGCATTCACGACAACTGCAGGTTCATGAGGAGAGCTGTGATAAGAGAGGTGTTGATGGCATATTGCTCTAATAACTGTGTAACAGAAAGTCAGGGAAGGGAGGCAGGGAGAGAACTGTAGAATATCCAAAAGAACTGATACATTATGTCACGTCATATGTCAATGATACTTTTTCTTGAGCCTCAGCTTCCCAGGGATGTTAGTAGGCAGGGCCCAGTCTTTGACTACCAGAAAGTCCAAAACATACTCACTTGCCCAGTGTATGAGAAAGACTGTCTTGTTTTCTTTTTTTTCTCCCAACAGGACTTGCTTTCCTTGCTAACCAAAAAAGGGCCTCTTACAAAAGGCATTTTTAGGCAATCTGGAAATGTGAAATCCTGCAGAGAGCTGAAGGAGAAACTTAACTCAGGAGCTGAAGTGGATTTAGATGGTGAATCCATATTTGTGACAGCATGCGTCTTAAAGGTAGGAAAAGGCTTCTAGCCCGCTCCAGGGCTTCCACCAGGCACAGGCACAGGCACAGGCACAGGCACGATGTGGTTGGCTTTCCTTCATTGTGAAGGTTCTGGCCCATTTGCAGGAAACTTTATTAGATTCATATTCTCTGGGAAAATAAATAAAAGCTTCTCCCAAATATAACTGAAGTTGGCACCCACAGACGTTCAAAGCCTCCACCCAGAGGTGACATGAGCCACTGCAGGCAGATTCCCTAACATACTATGACACCTCTCTCCACACCACCTACTCTTCCATGTGCCTCCCCTCTCCCCTATCCCCACAGCAGCCCCAGGCATCTAAAATAATTTTTTAAACAAATTAAAAATGTGTTCACCAAACAGAGCCTTCCCAATAAAGGCAAAATATAAAATTCCAAACTTTTTGTATTTCTTTGAAATTAAAAAAAATTCAACTTCAATTCTGAACTAATAAAACTGCTCAGAGACAGCATGCTGGCACTACCATAGTTACTTGTATAGTTCTTCCTCTCACTTTTTTCTTCACTTTTACAAAATGTGAAGATGAGATGGGAATTACTTGAGCCAGGAGGAGGGCCTCTTCCTTTTCCTATCCTAATTATTGACCCACATAACAGAACAGGAAGTGACCTTTGTTTTGACCTAGTCCAGCCCTCACCTTTACAGATGAAGAAATCAAGACCCAGAGAACGCTAATTTGCCCAAGCTTATTAATCTTTGAGATTTTCTTCCTTTCTTACTCATCCCAATCCCACTTACTAAGGTCTTCCACAAGGTCACATAATGATTCCTGGGAAAATTAATTGGTCTATTTTTCTAAAATGTCTTCCTTCAGAAATTCTGCACAATCTTAGAATGCAGCGGCCAGGGTCAGTGGCTGCTGTACCTGGGGTTTTGAGGGAAAGAAGTCTCAGGCACACACTGCACCTCCAATCATGGGTTTGCTTTTCACAGAACTAGAGATGGCCTGGAATGCCAGCAGCTTGTCATTCCTATCCCAGGAAATACAAATGAAAAGCAGAAATGAGGAAAGAATAGAATTATACACGGTTAGGTAATCAGTCAGTCAATAAGGATATAATAGCACCTACTGGGTACTAAGCATTATGATAGGTAATGGAAACATATAAAAAAGCAAAATATGGTTCCTGTTCTCAAGAACTTCCAGTCTAATGTGGGTAGATGGCATGCAAACAACTGTGTGCAAACAAGATATATACAAGATAACTGGAGGTGATCAACAAAAGGGGAAGGCATTAGCTTTTAGGGGGATCATGTAAGGTTTTGGGGAACTCTGGCTAGTTCTTCTCTTTATAAGTTTGCAGTTACACCTTCAATTTAATCTTATTACGTGAGTTTATGTACAAGTCACCATTTATTAACAAATATACTTGTTTTATCTGTTCCCTATGAAACTGTTGTGGGTGATGCAAAAGAAAAAAAATGTAATGAGAGTCCTCTTCTATATCTGCTTTTTCTTCCTTGTCTTTAATAAGTAACTAATATGTGAGCTTCCCAGTATTTCCTACACATTACAATATACCCACATACATAATTCATGGCATCTTGCCAGTGTTTTGGAGGTATTTAATCAGCTATGAGTACTGTATAGAGCTATCTTACCTACAATCATTCATTAGTTCCACAAAAATGAGGAAGTAGTGTTGCAAGAGGGTAGTCACATTCATTTCAGCAGCATTAGAAAGAGGGTGATTAGTCCCTGATCAGCCAAAATTTGGACTAAAAAGCTTAAAATCAGGCTTTATCAAGAACTGAGAGTATAATAGGGCTGGGCCAGGTTGCTCTTGAGGTGTGGAAACCTGATGTACCAGGGCCTCAGAAAGACCCCTGAAGCTTGCTCTTCAAGCCAGCCAACTGAGGAAGATGAAGTAGACATTGCAGACTTGGAAGAGAAAAAGCTAAAATTTCAGCCATTTTCTGGTCTAATGCTTTCCTTCCCATGAATCCTCTCCCTTTTTTGGAGAGAGAACTAGAAAAGATGACTGTCCAGTATGATTAATCTCCCCAGAGGAAAAGAGCCAAGGCAAAGTACTGAGATGTGGTGGTGGTGGTGCTGCTGCTGCTGCTGCTGCTGCTGCTGACCATATCTAACATTTCCATAGCTCTTTAAGGTTTGCAAAATGCATTACAAATATTCTCTCATTTAAATCTCACAACAACTCTGAGAAGTAGGTGTTTTTGAACCTCATTTTGGTAGGATGATTTTTTAGTATTGGTATGATCAGCCACAGCCAGACAAAATCTATTCATTGACCCCAACATCTAATGTCATTTTGGTCTTCTTTGAGCATGGAGGAGAAACAATTTGAACATGATGGTAATTTAATGGAGCTGGAGCCTGGGGATTCAAAAGCAAGTCATGGTCCCCTTCAAAAGTCTGAAGGGCAACAAATGGGACCATAAACCTATAGATTTTATTTTAAAGATCTTAAGTTTTGTTTTTGTTTTTGTTTTTTTTAACATCCCAGAATTATCAAAGTAGATTAATTCATTTAATGCCTCTTAGTTCTAAATAAGGCTACCACTGTTGATCAGAGCTGATGTCTTAGGAGTAAATTGTATAATAAAGTGTTTAATAAAGAGTAAAACTAGAGTTGGGCACAGTAGAGCTGAGTTTGACCAGGCTGGTCTTTGGGAACAATGAGGATAGCGGGAAACCATGACCTCAAGGCAGGATTAATGGATAATATATATTTTTAACATACTATATTATTAGTATTATATGTGATATTAACATCATGTTATATAATATATTAATATTATATATTATTAATATTAGATTATAAATGGATGACAACATAAAATGATGTGGACCAGTTAAACTTTGTGTAAGATATTCCTGCCTGTCTCCCCAGTATGGTTTGAGAGTTTAACCTGTAACCTTTTATAGAGTAACAAACAACAGTATTATAAAAGCTCACAGAATTGCTCTTTAAAAACCATTAGATGATCCTGGGCAAGTCACTTAAACCTTTGCCTAGCAAAAAAGAAAAAAAGAAAAGAAAAAAAGAAAAACCATTGGAGAGTGCATAGGACCTCCTTGCATTCTTTTAGTAAAGCATGTCTGCATCCAGCCAATGAAAGTCAAGAAAGGTTAAAGTGTATATAAGAGTTTTGGATCTCATAGGAAAAAGAGAAAATAGATTTTGGCCATTGAAAAAAAAATAAAGCCACACACACACACACACACACACACACACACACACACACACACACACACACACATACACACACACACACATGCACGTGCATAATTCCACTTCCTTCCTCCCAGGGTTGTGAGAATCTGAGGAGATAATGTATTTAGAAGACTCTTTGTAACCACAAGATGCTGCCAAGATGCTATATAAGCATTAGATCTTACCATTTCTATAAAGCACGGTGACTCTCAGGTCGGTTGGGTAATGCTTTAGGGCAGCTAGGTGGTGAATTGGGTAGAGTGCTGGGCCTGGTGTCGGAACGACTGAAATTCCTGAGTTCAAATCTGGCCTCAGACATTTACTAGCTGTGTGACCCCGGGCAAGTCACTTAACCCTGTTTGCCTCAGTTTCCTCATCTGTAAAAATTATCTGGAGAAGGAAATGGCAAACCACTGCAGTATCTTTGCCAAGAAAACCACAAATGGGATCGCAGAGAGTCAGACACAACTCAAACTTCTCAACAAGAACTTAAGGCACCTCCCAAAACATCAAGGACAAAAGGAGATAAGTCTCAGTTCAGGCTGTGGAGTGTATTTGCTAGATGGCATTTCATTTAGTGAGGACTTACATTTTGGGTTGTTACAGCCCAATTAAGCTGTAAGAATGCCTGTTCCAGGTTGCTCCAGGCCTCTTCTCTGTTTTTCCTTAGCATTCCTTTATTCGGCCCTGTTGGCCCCTGGAATATTCTTTAATATATCAGCAGTGAGGAGAACACTTAATGCCACTGAAGTGAGAGAGGCTTGTTAATACATCAACTTGGGTCTTCTATGCTGTAGGAAAATCAGAGTTAAGTGCTGCATAAATAAGGAGCCTGGGGTGTATGGGTCAGTACATGGTGTAAAAGACAAAAGTTGTCCTTTTGATTCTGAGCAGTATCCTATTAGGAGTTTCACATAGGTTATCAGAGGCAGCCCGTTCTTTGGCATCACTACCACGGGAGAAAAAATTGGAGTTTCTGAAACTGAACTTCCCTATTATATTTTCTCACTTGCTGTGGAAGCCATAGGATAAGAGTGGTGATTTGTCTCGGGTCCACCATTCCCACAGCACATCAAGGGAATTGCCTAATGGGTGAAGGCAAGGGCGCCACAAACTCAGGGAATGTTCCACTGGGGAAAAACAGGGATGGAAATGAAGTCAGTTGATTGACTTAGCTTCACTGGGCTCGGTGCAGTGTCACTATATTTCACCAAACAAAAAATCAACAGACTTGCTAAGCTAGATAACAGGAAAACAAAAATAATCAGGGAAAGGCTCACAATGGATTTTTGTTCTGGTTGTAGCAAAGGCCAATAACCGTGTGCCCCTCACACCTAATCAACTAATTAAATGCATGATTAGAATGGCTACACCAATTCCTTAGAAAAATCATTTCGTGTTCTCTCTGTGTGGGACCTGATTCTTCTGAATTGCCGGCAGACATTGTAGCAGAACATGGCTATGGGTGGATCAAGTGGTGTTTGATTAGTTTTCAGAATATCGCTTTTGTTGTGCTGCAGCAGTTAACCAACCAAGCACCTACCACGTGCCGAGGCACTATGCTAGGTGCTGAGGGTGTAAATACGAAAATAAAACAATCCTTACAGTGAACTTATGTTCTATTGGAGGAGGCAGTGAGTTCAGATAAAAATAGATACAGCATAAATATCAGGTTCATAGATATGAATATGTATGTAGGTATATGAGGCAGCTAGGTGGCCCGGTGGTTAGAGTGCTGGGTCTGGAGCCAGGAAGACTCATCTTCCTGAGTTCAAATCTGGCCTCAGAC